AGCTTGGATTTAAAAAAAATATAGATGTTTGACTTAATGGCGAGATCGAAAATAAATTCTGGCACCCATGACGAATTGGTTTGAAAATCGTCTTTCCGATAATACATGAATGAAACTCACATGAGGTTAGCTATGTTTGCCCAGTGAGTCCTAACCTTGAATTACAACAGAATTGCTAAAGCTTCATTGCAATTCCCATATTTTGAATAAGGAAACATTCAGTAAGGTTCAGCGACTTTCTAGGAAATTTTGCGAACTATAGGGAACTGTAGTGAATTTTAGGAAAGTTCGGCAAACTTTAAATAAGTTCCTCCAAAGAAGCAGAAAAATTCAACAACTTTCAGAGAAGTTCATTGAACTTCAGGAAAGACTTCAGGAAAATTCTTCAAACTTTAAAGGTGTGTTTCGCTCTCCAGATCTGCCAACTTCAGGGACATTTTGTGAGCTTCATAGGAGTTGAATGTCCTCCTGGTAAGTTCTACGAACTTCAAGAGAGTTCTATGAACCATAGAAACATTATATGAATTTCAATGATGTTCTGCAAACAGTTCTTTAAACGTGAGGAAATTTTTGCAAACTTTAGGATGTTCTGTGAAGCACAGGGAAAATTTAATAACATTAGGGAAATACTATGAATTTTAAAAAATATCTGAGAATTTCAGGAAAAAAAAATCAAGAACATCAAAGAAAATCATGAAAGTTTGAAGAATTTCATCGAAGTTCAACGAAATCAAGAAAAAACTTATGAACAGGGATTTGAATTTGAATGTAACTTCTATAAGCTGTATCATCGGGTCGTTGGTGGAACAACTCCCACTCCATGTCTTATAAAACAGGTAAAATAGTGAGAATATAGTGAACACTGGAAACTTCAGAATCTCTCCAAATTGGCAGATGAAAGTAAGCATCACTTTGTTGCCAAAAGCATTAGATAGTTGGCAGGCAAAAAACTAGCCTAGGTTAATTTTTCAAACGTCGCAGGAAGACCAATGGGTTTAAATTTGAAACAGTCAGGAAAAAAATCTAAGATTTCTCACGAAGATTTACTCAGCTTTAAGAAAGATCTTAATCTGAGTGTTAAAAGGGTTAGTACACACTAAGATTTTTTTACAGGAGTCAGTATTTTTTTTACTGGGTTTTTGAATTGCTGAAAAAGTCGGTAAAAATTCAAATGACCGTTATCCGTAAGGAATCAATGAAATCGATCAATTTTATTTTCTATCATTAAATGGGGTTAACATAACTAAGTATGTACATGTTCAGAACAAATTTTCTCATTAATAAATTTTTCACAGATTTTTAAACTTTTACCGAACAGTTCCGCAATTCAAAAACTCAGTAAAACCGTACTGACTCGATTAGTGTGTATGTAACAGTTATCTTTATAACTTTATATTTTACATGACTTTAAACTATACTTTTGTTATATTTCAGACGCTAAAATTGGCTAAATGTATGAGACATACCGGCCGTCAAACTATCCAGCTCGCCCTCAAATCAGCTATGAGGAAAGACAACGCGGCCAAGAATGATCCCAATAACGCAATATGGTGGCTGCCACAAATGCGACTCAGCATACGGAATTTGAATTCGCTGGTCGCCATTGTAGGTGCTTGATAAACGCCATTGCCTGATTGACAATCGTGCATTTTCTCAAAGATGAAATTTTAATCATCAGCTAATGAAAAACAACACATGCTGACTTTTCGATATGTTGTGTAAAAAAGCCTAAATTTTTTGAGAAAAATTTAAAAACACCCTCTATCTAAAAACCATGGAAACCATAATAAACGAATACAATCAATGTTTTCAAATATAAAATCCCTATTTTTTAATATCTTTATATTTCATCATTACAAGTACTTTTAATAACCTTTCAATTGATATTTTGATCTTTGAAATTGGCCTAGTTGTTCAAAGGTAATAATTTTTTAAAAAAAATTCATTTTTGAAAAAAAAAGTAAACGATTTTTTGGACTACCCTAACGTTGAAATAGTCACCCTAATGACAAAATAAAAAAAGTATTTTGCGATAAGGATCAAAACTACCATTTCCTACCCAATTCTGAGAACCACTATATCGTTTTGCAATGGAATGGCTCAATAATAGTAAATTTAGAGACTAAACCATTGTTTTATTATTTTATTAATTTAAACATTCTGACATTGTTACGATATCTGACGGTACCGAAGAGCGAATCTTACTGTATCATTGAAACTTAGTGTTTTGACAACTTTAATCCTTTTTGAATCATTTTCAGCTGAATTTGTTTCGATCCGTAACAGTTTTGTATAATCAATAGTCCGTATACGCCTTTGTTAACAGCTAAGTAAACTTCAAAACACTTTTTCTCAAAAAACCCAAGATGAAATATTTTAAAACCTTCGCAGATTTGATTGTTAGGATCAATACTAACTTCCTGTGAAGATAAAACTGAGGTACATGAATGTTGCAAAAAAAGTGCCTTCAGACATAGCGTGTGCCAGGACGAAATTGATAAATCGCTGAAACACTGCCGGAGCGTTACGTAATCCAAACGGCATTTTCAAATATTCATACTGCCCATTTGGCGTCACGAAAGCCGTATACGGAATGGTGTCTTTAGCCACATTAACCTGATGAAAACCAGGTTTGAGATCCAGCACGGTAAAATACTTCTTTCCCTCAACACGCTCTAGACAGTCATCTATCAAAGGCATTGGGTAGCTGTCGCGTACAGTCAACTTGTTCAACGCACGGTAGTCCACACACATCCGCTTTTCGCCAGACTTCTTCGTTCTTAAAACAATCGGAAACGCGTAGGGCGAGTCACTAGGCCGTATAATGTTTTCACTCAATAACTCCTCGACTATACGATCCACTGCAAGTTTGTCGGAATATGAAAGTCTCCGTGGAGCAAAATTAATTGGGATATCGGAAGTAAGCTTCAACTTCATTTCGTAACTATGTTCCTGAATTGGGATATTCTGAAGGTCAAGATAGTCTTCCTGGATGATTTTCAAAATCTTACTCCGATTATCAACACTCAATTCTGGATTTATCGCATAATCACAATCACTTAATTAGCACATTAACATCGGAAATATCGGAATGAACGGAACTGAACTGAACGGAATCAATCGAAGCCAGCTACTTTGACATTGTCGGAACAAGCGGAACAACAACCTGAGGTACCAAATTAGGCATATTAGAGATCACTGAAGCCGGTGCATGGTCACACTGATTACATGTTATAATAGGTTCGCATAGGCACATCATTTGAATAATCAAACACACAATGTAGTACTTTTCCAGAAATTTTTATTCGATTTGGGTCGGATCCAATTTCAAGTTCAATGTTCGATTTCAGGTCAATTAAATCAATAAATCTTGTGTCGTACAAGGTAATGCCGACTTCTTTCAAAAAATTCCGACCCAGAAGTAAAGGAAAAGGAACACAAAGGTAAAGGGTGATACGGTCAAAATTTGGTCAATATCAACTTGACGTATTTCTTTCAATTTTGCATTTAAAAAACCTGAACACCCCTCATTTTGAAGGTGTGTGTGTGTAGAATGTTGCTCCTATTTTGATTTTGGAATTCACTCTTCAGTTGTCAAAATGCCGTCCAAGCAAGAAGAGCAGCGTATGAAAATTTTGCTCGCGCATCGCGAAAATCCGAGCTACTCACACGCAAAGTTGGCAAAATCGCTAAAAGTTGCCAAATCAACCGTTACAAATGTAATTAAAGTGTTTGGGGAACGTTTGTCGACAGCCAGGAAGTCTGGATCGGGGGGAAATCGAAAACCGGAAGCCGCTGAGACGACAAAGAGAGTTGCCGGTAGTTTCAAGCGAAACCCTAACCTCTCTCTCCGAGATGCCGCAAATAAGCTGGGTGTATCGTCTACAACCGTGCATCGAGCCAAAAAACGAGCCGGACTATCGACTTACAAGAAGGTAGTGACTCCCAATCGCGATGATAAACAAAATACGACGGCCAAAGCGCGATCCCGGAGGCTGTACACGACGATGCTGACGAAGTTTGACTGCGTGGTAATGGACGACGAAACCTACGTCAAAGCCGACTACAAGCAGCTTCCGGGACAGGAGTTTTATACGGCAAAAGGAAGGGGAAAGGTAGCAGATGTTTTCAAGCACATGAAACTGTCAAAGTTCGCAAAGAAATATCTGGTTTGGCAAGCCATCTGTACCTGTGGCTTGAAAAGCAGCATTTTCATAGCTTCCGGGACTGTCAACCAAGAAATTTACGTGAAAGAGTGTTTGAATAAACGTCTGCTGCCTTTCCTGAAGAAACACGGTTGTTCCGTACTGTTTTGGCCGGATTTGGCATCTTGCCATTACGGTAAAAAGGCCATGGAGTGGTACGCCGCCAACAACGTGCAGGTGGTTCCCAAGGACAAGAACCCTCCCAACACGCCAGAGCTCCGCCCAATTGAGAAATACTGGGCTATTGTCAAGCGGAACCTAAAGAAGACCAAAAAAACTGCTAAGGGCGGGCAGCAGTTCAAGGCAAACTGGCTTTCTGCGGCGAAGAAGGTGGACAAGGTGGGTGTACAAAATCTGATGGCAGGGGTCAAGCGTAAGGCCCGGCAATTCGGATTTGGAAAAGCGGAAGCCTAACTGAATATTTTTCCTGAATTTTATACTAATTGAACTTGAAAAAGAAATTTAATTTGATTTTTTAAATAAACGATTTCACCGATTTACACGCGTTTTCCCTTGACCAAATTTTGACCGTATCACCCTTTAGTTATCTGGTACTACATGTACCTTTAAGCAAATTTTACGATCACGGAAGGAGATAGATGCTCTGATTATTCCGTAGGTGCATAGTGGGTAGTTACCTATGCTTTTGTATCCTGACTCCACCTTTTCTCTCGGACCCATCGATTGTGGGACCACTGATCTCCGCACGAAACTAATTGGACTACCCGTGTCGAATATAGAAAGTACAGTGCTACATAAGTGTGTGTTACTGTCAATTGAGAAAGCAATACTTACAATATTCAGCTCCGAAAGAGCAGCTCCCAGCTCGCCAGCGCCAGCGGATGAACGATCACCATTGGCATTCTGATGAAATTCATCCGCCAAGGCCACCTGGCTGTTGTTACGTGGGGACGGCTTAGGGCACTCCTTAAGCTGGTGTTGAGTCGAGCCGCAACGGAAGCAGGAGCCCTTTGCTCGACGTGGCTCCTTACAGGCCGCAGACAAATGACCGATGCCTGAACAATTGTAACAACGCAGCAAGTCCGGTTTGGATGCAGCAGGCTTCATCTTCTGCCTCGCTGGCAGGGTCGTTGTTGGGTACATTTATCGCAACTGAACGTACCGGCGTGAAAGCTGCTTCAGATGGGCCAGATCCTTGGCCGGATAAAGCACTGCGATATTAGAAACCATCGATGATAAACTGCACGGTTTGATTCTCATCGATGTTCGCTCTGGAGGCAATTTCTTGCATCCTAAGTATGTAAGCAGCAACTGACATCTGGAGAGCGTCGTAGGTCGTCTTTCGCAGCCTATCCACAATCTCAGCCACTGTGTAGGTATGGCTAAAGTTGTCCAGGAAGCTAGTGCGAAACTCGGTGTAGTTCTTTGATTTGTCAACCCGGAGAAACCATTCCGCCTCGGTTCCTGGTTCCATCAGACGCCGAATACATTTGAATTTGAAGCCATCATTACCACCCAGTGATCCGCACGCAGACTCAAAATCACTAAGCCATCTATTTGCGTCGCATGTATCACCTCTAGAAAACCGCACAACGGAATTCATGACGTCCTGAATTGTAGGTGGTTTTCCTTGAGTTCGTTCGATGTCCTCCAGCTCACGACGCAAATTGGCGATCATTTTACGTTTCTGCAACTTTCTCAACTCCAAATCCAGCGGATCCTCGTGTCCTGAAGATGAATCATCGCCATCGCCGTCGCCGTCGTCTTAATCGTCCTTCGGCGCTCCGCCCTGGGCTCCAATATGGCTTTTGTACAACGATCGCAGAAGCCGCACAGTTGCTGAAGGTGGGAAATCAATTTGGTTTTCCCGCAGCCACTCCATCAAATCCGAGGGGGACGACACATCTAAATCTCAATTCTAGATGCTCAAAAAATCTCACACTAGCGAATCAATCTTCGAAAAATCATCTTTCATTTGTCGCATCTACTTGCATCGCTCATCATCTTTTTGCAGGAAATCTTCAAAATCGACATAAATCTTCCTTCTATCTACTCAGCGTGCGTGCAGCTAGCCACAGCAAAACACAATCTTTTCTGCATCGTAGATAGAGTCGTCCCCCTCGATCAAATCTGCCTTATTCATACGGCTCATAATTGCAAACTTTCAGCTGCTTCCTGGATGAACTATCCCACTTCTGATTTACTGTAAGGATTTCCGGATGAAAAAACCACGACGCGTACTCGACGGTTAAAAATTTTATTCCGCACGCTTTACTTGCTTTTACCAGAATGAAATCAAAACGGATCTAGATGAACCCATAAAGGTGGTTTCAATTTTTAGAACGGAAATACACTGTCAAAACGTAGAACACAATCTGGACAGAAAATACACACTCAAACATAAAACACAATATCTGGCTTAAAACTAGAAAATGGGTTACACACTAATCATAACAGGCACATAATTATACTACAATCGTTTGTTCAAACTTTTCAAATTCAAAGCGCATAGCGTCCGGATCTCATAAAATTATGGATATCGAAGTTAGGGAATTTCTCAAGATATCAGAGTTAGATTATTTAATAATTTTCGGAATTAGGATTGATTTTAATGTTGATATATTTCATATTTAATCATCAGTAAAGTCTCATACATAGTAAAAAATATTACTAGCACATTGATTTTTTTAAGGCATCTTTACCAACGGACATGCAAAAAACTGCATACATTTTCGGATCAATTGTGATTATGGTAAAACTAGCTAAATTTAAACAAATTTAAAAAAAACTGAGAAAGTTTGCACGTATTAATTTAATTTTTAATTGAAGGTTTAGCAATATTTTTCTACAGGGTTGCTTCCACTCACTTGCTATAAAAAAATATTATTAGGAATTATGCAATCGTTAGATGCAATAATGCTATTTTGTACTTGTAAGTAACAAGAATAAGTAGTAAAGTATGTGTTTGACTCATAAAACCTGTCAATTTCGCTTTGAGAGCGTCACAATTACCGATCTTATGATTCGTGAGCGTTCACTCAGAGTGAGCGCTCACGAGTCGTTAAATCGCTGATTGTGACGCACTGAAAGCAACTTTGACAGGTTTTATGTGTCTTACATATACTTCGTGACCTCTTCTTGTAACTTACAAGCACTAATTACCATTATACTATTTCATGATTTCATAATTCCGAAAAACATTTTTTTTATAGCAAGTGTGTGGAAGTAACCCTGTTTCTAATGCAATTAAATTTATGATCGTAAAATTGATCCATTTTTATTTGTGTAAAATCCCCCTTTTGTCCATTTTCTCTTGAAGATTCGTCATTTTTTTTTTTATAATTTAATCCGTAAATGCGTTAAGAATAAGCCCTCATTAAAGCGCCATTAACATGTATGAAAACAACAGTCTGGCGGTGAGCATGCATAAGGGCGTAAACGCGATGATCGATTCTCTTCGTCGATTTTCTCTTTTGTTAATAACTCGCTGGGATTAACGTTTCTCGGTGCGTTTGCTGGAGCACTGCATTGAACACATTCTAGAAAATTGTTTCGCTTAGCTGTAGCAATGCAAAGAGAAAACCGATGAAGAGAATCATCGATCATCGCGAATACGCCCTTATGCATGCTCACTGTCGAATTCGACCTTGTTTTGATTTCCTTAAACGTGTCGCCCTTCACTTTTCACCGTGTTTACGTTTCACTTAAAGATAAGCCTTTTACAAGGGGTATTCAACTCTGCACACCTTAATCTGTGCCAAGAGCTTTAACAGTGCCGAAAGTTGTAACAAGCGTTGTGCCGATCGTTCCAAAGTAGACCGAAGTGTATCAATCAAGGTGTCAATATGCAATGAGTTTGGCAACCCTGAAGTTAGACTGTTGTGATTGTGTTAATATTTTCAATTTCTATAATTCATGGCCATGGCTCATGGCAACAATAGGCTTCATTCTCATTAGAACGAGAGTGGAGTGGGTGGTGAAAGAGGAACTGGAAGCAATCCAACTTTTTCGGCCCGTCCACAAGAAACGTGTGCAGAAGCGAAGGTGTAGCCTGATCGGTGGAGGGCGAAATTTTCAACAGCTACCAGTAAATGCTCCCGATAAAATCAAACTAAGAACTCGAACGGACAAAAGTTCCATCCCACCCTAGAAAAAACATCCTCGAAGCAATTCTGATTGACACAGAAGTACGTGACCTCGAAGATATCACTCAAACCTATCGTATCGCTGATTATGATGTATCCTACCACCACCCAATTACATACGTTCAAGCCTACCAAGTTCACGATGCTTTGGGGCTGTTCGTAAACTACGTATACAGTTTAGGGGGGGGGGGGGGGGGGGAGGGCACAATTGACAATTGAAATGGTTTGCCTTGACAATGACTGTTAGCTCAAAGGAATGATCAAAGCAGAATTATAAATATCACCGTGTACTGTTGAGATTTTGCATCACTGCTTCTAACATCTGATATTCATAGAAATCGTTCATAAGAGATGCGAATTGACTCCGTGTAATTGTTTTGACGTGGTTCGTTGCTAAGGATAATGTCCTAATCTTGGTTGACCCGATAGATCATTTCTCCTGAACTCCGACACGATTTGGTGTATTCAGAGCATCTTTAAAAAGTATTATAAACTATGCCCATAGATTCTAAATGCACTGAGGCCATCGTGCAAGTCCTGGTTGATCTAGTAGATCACATAATATAAGCTCTTGAACGATCTGCAGAACCTAGAATAGGTGGAGATCAAGAGAATTTATCCTGAATGATGAATTTATTATTTTGAACATTGGCTACACACTTAGATTTTTTGCCGAGATTGGCACCACCGAGCAGGCTCGGCATTTATTTTCACTGAGATCTCAGCAAGATTTATGTTTGTTAGCCGAAATTTCGGCAAAATTCCCGTTTGTTAACTGAATCTCGGCAAATTTTTCACTGAGATCCAGCAAAACAGATTGCTGAGCTGCTCGGTGGTGCCCATCTCGGCACAATAATCTAAGTGTGTACAGGAAGAGCTCCCATAAATATTCTGCAGCTACTTCTTCAACCGGTGCTAAAACAGAACTCTCGCCTTCCCTTCCTTACACAGCAAGCGTAAATCCCCATCAACCACGAAACACAGTCCAGCTGCTCCAACTAGAGGGATCTCAGCAGAGAGAAAAGGACTGCGTCCACTTTTCATCACCAATGACTCGCGACACAACGGCTTCAGTTCACCAGTTCACCAGTACATAGTCTGGAAGGTGCAGCGCCAGCTCCTTAGGCTGTGAACCATTTGTTGAGTTAAATTTAACTCATGGTTAAAAGTGACATTTCGAAAGTTATTTTCTATGTTCGAAAATCCCCGTGCTGTCGATCGACCGGTTTTCGAGCCACAGTTGTCAAAATTTAACTTCTTGTCTGTCAGAAATAACCATACTCGGATAGCAGGGTTAATCGATAACTTTCCATCTGTCAAATTTTAACCAAAAGTTAAAAAAATCCACCAAATGGTTCAGAGCCTTACTGGCCGAATCATCTCGCGACCAACGCCGGCATCAGAACCGACAACTCCACCGACCGAAAACAAACACATACAATAACGGCCGCGGCACACTTCGATTGCATTTCTGAAACACAACCTCAACACACAAACACGACGACGACTACATTCGACAAACGCCTTATGTCCGGGAGGCGGAACGCTAGCACGCAGCAAGCAAAGGAAAGAACAAAAATGCACAGACAGAGTACGGCACGAACTGCTAACGTTTTTCTCCAAGGCATTAATAGACTTCTCTGACGTTTGTGAATTGCACAAGTATCAGTGCAGAACTTTGGGTAAAGTCAAAGGTTTTCTTGCTCTAATACTCATAATTTACCCCGAGTTCTGCACTAATACCAACAATCAATACGAAACTAACGATTTTAAATTGGCTCACACTACTTGACTAGCCTATTGGTCCCAAGCAAACGATTAACGTACCCCATTCTAGTCGAAATTCTAGTACTACACAATGTTTGTTTTGATGAAAGTTATGCGCTATGAAAGTTTGACAGATAAAATGAGGGGTTCGTGGATTTTCCTATGTTTCGAGGGGTGAATCGATTAGCTTGGGACCGAAGAGAGTACCAGAGCTGAGCCAAAAAGTTGAGC